TCGCAAAAAATGTGCCTTTTTGAGCCGGCACAGCTTGCCGTCGCAAAAAAAATGTGACTTTTTGAGACGGTACAACTTGCTATCGCGAAAAATGTGCCTTTTGAGACGGCACAACTTGCCATCGCAAAAAAATGTGACTTTTTTATAAAAAAATAATAATATTTATTTTTTCATTAAAATAAAAATAAAACAAATAAATTTTCAATCTATAACTAAAAAAAATATTTTTTTTTAAAAAAAATTCATTAACTACAAAAAAAAAATTATTTTAACAAAAAATAAATTTTTTTGGCGACAGCAACCCCCGTCGGCAAAAAAAAAAAAAGGTTAAACCACGTTTTGTTGTTTAAATTTCATTTGTGACTGAATTTTTTTTTTCTTTCCCGCTATGTTTCCCCCAATTTTTTTTCCATTCCCCCCCCTTTTTTTTTTTTTCCATTCTCATTCTGTAACCCCCCCAACCCAAACAAAAAATCCCAATCTCAAACCCCCCGCCCAAAACAAAAAATCCATAATCTCTTCTTATCCCCCTCTTTGTCTCTTTTCACCAATTTTTCACGTTCCTCTCTCTCTTCTCTTTCTCTCTTTCACTCATCACTCTTCTCTGTCTGTCTTTCTATCTGTCTCTCTTTCTCTCTCTATGTCTCTCACTCGTCTATCTCTTCTCTCATCTCTTTTCTCTCTCTGTCTCTTTCGTTCATCTCTCTTCTCTCTATCTCTCTCATCTTTTTTCTCTCTCTATCTCTCTTCTCTCTCTGTCTCTTTTTCTGTCTCTCACTCTCTATCTTTTTCTCTCTTTGTCTCTCTCTCTTCTCTTTCTCTCTTTCACTCATCACTCTTCTCTGTCTGTCTTTCTATCTGTCTCTCTTTCTCTCTCTATGTCTCTCACTCGTCTATCTCTTCTCTCATCTCTTTTCTCTCTCTGTCTCTTTCGTTCATCTCTCTTCTCTCTATCTCTCTCATCTTTTTTCTCTCTCTATCTCTCTTCTCTCTCTGTCTCTTTTTCTGTCTCTCACTCTCTTTCTTTTTCTCTCTGTCTCTTCTCTTTCTCTCTCTAACTCATCACTCTTCTCTGTCTGTCTGTCTGTCTCTATCTATCTCTCTCTTTCTTTCTCTCTTTGTCTCTCGCTCATCTCTCTTCTCTCTATCTTTCTCATCTGTTTTCTCTCTCTACCTCTCTCACTCATCTCTCTTCTCTTTACCTCTCTCTCGCTCATCTCTCTTCTCTCTATCTCTCTCATCTCTTTTCTCTCTATGTCTCTCTCGCTCATCTCTCTCTCTCTCTATATATATCTATCTCTCACTCATTTTTCTTCTCTCTCTCTATGTCTTTCTCTCGTTCATCTCTTTTTGTTCTCTTTCTCTCTCTTTTTCTGTCTGTCTGTCTGTCTCTCTCTCTTTCTTTCTCTGTCTCTCTGTCTCTCACTCTCTTTCACTCAGCACTCTTCTCTCTCTCTTTTTCTCTCTATCTGCCTGTCTATTTGTCTCCTCCTCATTGTGTTCGCCTTGCTTACTCCCTTCTCCCTTCTTCTCTATTTACCAAGCTATATTTTGATTTATCGAGACACTATAAGAAAATCACTTTTGGTGACCACTTTGTCTTTCTATCGCTCATCACTCTGTCGTTGTCTCTATTTCTCTTCTCTATCTGTCTCTCACTCATTTCTCTCTAACCACCCATCTCCTCTACCACCTTCAACACTACTGCAAAATGTCATTCCACTACCACAACTACTACCACTGTTGCCAATCCGCCTCTACGACTATCATTACTACCACCATCACCACCACTCCACTACCACTATTACTATTACCATTACCTCTCATTCACCACCGCTACTCTATCTCCTTTACGATTACCACAACTTCACCACTAATCTCATTCGCTATCACCATCACCACCATTATCACCTCTTATCCACCACCTTCACCACTACTGTTGCTCCCTATCCTGTACCACAAAAAATTAGTTTTTGATTTTTAGTAACAAAAAAAAATGAGTCGCAGAAAAATATTTTTCATTGATGACAAAAAATTAACTTTATTTTAATGAAAAATATTTTTTATTCAAAATGAAAAAAAAATAATAATAATTTTTTATTCATTAAAATAAGAATGAAACAAATAAATTTTCAACCTTAATAACTAAAAGAAAATGAAAAATAAAAAAATAAAAAATTTCATTAACTATAAAAAAAATTATTTTAACAAAAAATAAAATTTTTAAATATTCATTTGTAATGGAAATAAAAAAAAAAATCCATTCACACAAACCCCCCTCCTTTTTTTTCCATTCCCGCTCAGGTTACCAAAAACCCCCAATCTCCCCCCCTCGGCCCGCCCTTTTTTTTTTTCCATTCCCGCTCAGGTTACTAAAAACCCCCAATCTCTTCAACCAAAATCCCTAATCTCTTGAATCAAAAATCTCATTCGACCAAAAATCCCTAATCTCTTCTTACGGCTCTCTCTCTCCGGCGAACGGTGGCGGACAACGGTGAGCGGCAGACGACGTCATCGAGCAACGTGCGACGACTACGAAGTTCCTCATTTCTTCTCTCTCCTTCTAGACCCTTTGAAGCCTCCTTGCCTTCCAAGTTCGTACAAAACGCCACGGTTTCATCCGAGTACGAGCAAGAACAGGACCTATTGAGCGATACAGAGGAACCCAGTTATGTTTGATAATGTTTAGCTCATTGTTTTTTTCTAAATTTATATTTACAATTTCAAACTATTATGTATTATAATTTTAAAATTTTGATATTGATATTCATTTGTAAATGACAGGTGTTTGAAGGAAGGGGCAGAGGATTTTATAGTAAACCTGTTAAATGATCGGACGTGAAACGTTTGAAAGATAAGTCTTCGATGATGATGATGTTCATGTTCTTGTAAAGGTATTAAGCTAATTCGTATTTTTTTGGCATCCATTTTCATGCACATCAAGTGTTTGATTAAATGTGTCAATGGGTTTGTTTTGTCTGTGTTGATAGTCACCACCACCACCACTACCACTATCACCTCTTATCCACCACCTTCACCACTACTGTCGCTCCCTATCCTCTATGTTGGGTTTGATGATGATGTTCATGGTTTTTTTTTTGTGTGTAGAAGAAAATGCTTTGCTTATTTTTCCTCTCTGTTTTGTGTGTTGATCAAATGATTCATAATAATTCTAGAACATCAGGTGAAGATGATTTCACTTTGGGGTCCTAACTGTGGTACTCACTAAAACACCAAACAAATGTTAATTAAAAAATAAAGTATCTGAAAAAAAAAGAAGCAGCATGTTATATATGTGTTTTAAGACCCACCTTCAACAATGAAACCAACCTTCAAAAAAAAGTGCCATCCTTGCTGGGGTTTGTTGAATTTGATTAACTGTGTTTACTTGTTGTGTTTATCAAATTTTGAGGTTTATGATAATGGGTCGACGGTAAAGAAAAAGAAAATCAAATTCCTTGTTTTTGGTTTTGGAATTTGATGTGTTGTTTTCTCATGATGTCAGGATTTGGGGATGACAGTTACAACTTTGATTGATAGTATTTGGCATAAATAGATGCGTTAAAATGTCTGTAACGGATATCAATGCTTGATGCGAAGCTGGCATAAGCATTAGTGTAACATTTCTTAGAGTGCGCCCATTTTTAGGGATGCACACCATAAATTTTTCCTTAATATTATGTCTTACTTTATTTTTTATTCATGAATTGAAATATGATAGTTTATATCAATTACTAAAAAAATTTATTATCATTCTCACCCCTTCAGATAGGAAATTATAGTTCCATATCCTTGTCTATGTATAGATTATTGGCTAAGGTTATTGAATTGTGGGTCTTTTGATTTTGATTTTGATTTATTTATTTTTGGCTTTATTTTTTAATTTGTAGGTATGAGTCGGCAGAGGATTGCGCAGATGACAATGATGCTAAGATTGGGATTATGTAACAACCCTCACCACTGTTTACCGTTAAACTACCGATTACTGCTAAACTGAGACTGATTATGAAAAGTAATTGAACTGATTGAAATACTGAACTAACCGACTGAAATCTGAAACTGATTGATTGACTGTATCTGTTTAAATGCACTATCTATCTGTTTGACTGTCCGATTATCTGTTCATGTTTTTATGGTTAAATTGCAAATTGAAGGCCTTATCGGCGGCCGAACCCGAAATCGATTAGTGTTTTATGATCAATAGAATTTATGCAAATTTATGATGTATTTATCTGAAATGTGATTTGGTATGATTTAATTAGATTAAAATGAGCTTAATCCCACAAGTTGCATTATTTGCAACCTTGCCATTATAGTGGGCCACTATCAACCTCACTTAAAAAACTGCTAGTAGGCTAAGTGTGCTTCTTATATATTTTTTGATAAGTTAACTTTATTCCTTATTTTATTAGCAATGTTGGTTTTGATCAATTTTTCTAGTAAAAATTATTTCTTTTGAAGATTGGGGTCCGGATCCCAAAAAAAAAAGTAGAAAAAGAAAAACAGTTGGGTCCTGTTAGACTACTGGTTGTGCACGACGATAGTTGCTGCAAGAGCATTGAGTGCATGAGCCATTTTCTTCCTGGATGATTTTTGATTGCAAGTTGTTGTTATAGCACTGAACATAATGGGTTTGAGTACCTAAGCTAAAAAATGTTTACAAGCTAGTTGTAACTGTAGAGCTAGTTATATGTGTGGGAGAAATGTAAGAGAAATTTGAGTGCATAAAGATAAAGAATATTTGTCTAAAAGAAATTTCAAATGCTTCTTTCAATTGCAACACTATTCTGCAGCTTGATCACTGAAGCTTTTCTTGGGGAATGGATAGATATGCAATCAGTACCATTTATTATGGGCTATTAACTAAACAGTTCACTTGTTAATACGCAGTCTGTTTGGAGATTTTAATTCAACTATTGCCTTCATGTATCTTTGCTAATCAGTTTTGCGAAATTAATTTACACTAATCAGATACCTATGCATGTAATTATTCTTCTCATGCATATAATGGTACTCTGCTTGAGGCTGAAACACTGTGCCCTTGATCACCCCATGTAAAAATCGCATCGAGCAACATACTCCTCTTGTATAACCACAACTTCCTTTCCTCTAAGATTCGACTCCCAATGTCAAAAAAATTGGAACAAACCCTCGAAATTTTGTCCAAACCAAAATTCCCTCCTATTTTTTTTTTTGACAAACCCCTGGACCTTTTCTTTAGACCTAACATTTGGAGAAATTATGCTCTCTCTCTCTCCAATCGTCGCCGCTGTCCATTGCCACAACCATCACCACATCTAGGTAAGTCCCACACCTTTCTCTCCTATTCTGTTTTATTTCGAACAACTGATTTTAACCCTCTAGGTGTCACTCTCTGTCAAGGGATCCTACACTTCCTGCCATCGTCTCCACCACCTTCGTCTCCACCATCATCTCCAAATTAAACAACCTATTAGATAACGCCCAACCCCCTGCAGCGACGACGAAACCCTAGATGTATTCGAGCTCGATTACAAACTGGTTTGTACGTAGTTCATAATTGCCCAAAGCCCTTACTTTTACTGTATTATCTTCGATTTGTCTGTGCTAAGAGGAAATTTTCAAATTTAGGGTTTTCAAGTAGAGGATATGGAATTTTTTGTATGATTTAAGTAAAAAAAATCGAAAACCCATCTTTATTCATTCCCATTTCCTTTGAAGAAGACTTGATTTTGTTTTTCCAGGTGTAATTTATGAGCTTAGGTTGATTGTTTGTGTTATTTAATGTTTTTGTTTCTCTCCCTTTCTCTATCTCCATTCTATGAAACCCTAGACCGAAATCCCCTTCTTCGAAACTGCCCCTTTCACCTTTGTGAACTCGCTGGGTTGGATAATAAAATTAGGAAAATATGATTTGAATAGGTTTAGGTTTTTTGATGTTTGTTAGTTGTGTTGTTTCCATATGATGCATTCAACAATCCAATTACGTTGGTTTTTTGTGAATGTGAGTCAACTATATAGGACTAATCAAAGGGCATTCGTTACTCTCAACTTGTATGCTAGATCTGTGTGATATTGAATAGGCGTTGCTAAAGAGTGGTTAAATGCTTTTAATAATTTAAATTTAAATATGGATTGTTTACTTACTTGGTTTACTATGCATGAAACCAGAATTTTGTTTACCTGTCATTGAAAGTTTTCACCTGACGTGAATTTCACATGGCCTGCAATTTGAATTTTTTAATTTCTGGGAAACATACCCTAGTTGAGTTTCATTTTAGAGTTTTGGGACCTCGATGTTGTTAAAGTACATCATTTTATTATATTGCTCAGTAATTGCCAACAATTTGTTACTAGTTTCGATTGGGACAAACAAAGACAGGCTTACATTGAATTTATTATATTAACCTGCTAAAGATTTATATAGCTGTAGGTCTATTTAAGGAATATCAAAAATGTAGTTGAAGTTGATCACATAGTTAACCTACAGTAATTATTAAAAGTTGGAGGAAAATCGTAGCTTAACCAAATCAAAATATGTGTTTTATATTATAATGCCAGGTAATAAACCTTATAACCGTGTACATGGAATAGATGGAATACTGATACATGCATAATTACCAATTACCATCATATGGTCCCTTTGTACAACTGTTATGTGGGTGTACCGTTTGATGGTCACACATTTGTTTTCAATTAAAATTTCACTCCTAACCAAGTTCACGTGTGATATTAAGGTATCTCACTGACCTATAAGTTGCTTTAAGGTCCTACTTTCTCAATACCTGATGTGAATATGTAGAAAGCAACTTGCAACTGTAATTAATTGTTCTGTAGCATCCCCATTCCTCACGAATGATTGTAAAAGTTGTTCTGGCCTATTTTTGCTGAAGTACTAATTCTGTACCATGCATGCAAAGGTGTTCACAGGCAGTGATCCTACATTTTATCAGATAATTGATTGAACGATGGTTAAGGACCTAACATGATAAGAAAATTTTATGACCATTACCCTCAATTTGATAATACAATTTTTTGTATACTTGATTGCCCCATGGTTCTGGCATGATATTCTTTGAAATTTTTGTTTTCTTATTAGTAGAGACAGTGACCAACTTTTGCTCTCTTTTATGAGCAACCAGAGGGAATATATTTCTACTACAAAAAGCAGAATTGGGTTTTAAAATCCTCAGAAAAAAACGCCTACCTGTGTTGTTTGTAATAAACATGGAGTTTGAATAAGTCCTCAGTTGTCTGTTAGAAAAACTCTTAAACTGTCAATTTGAATTTATTTTATTTTATTTTATTTTATAAATATACAGCTTTGTTTTGACTTTCATTCTACAGGTTCTTTTCTTGAATAAACTGTCTAGTTTTATGCTCTTTCAGATGAATTTTATTGTTCCAATGATCTATAGCAATTTTACAAATGTCGAAAATCATAAAGTATAAAATTTTCAATTCACAAAGACTAGTATAAATATAATTAATTATTGCAGGTGGTTGAAATCAGTAAGGGGAGTAAAGTGAAGTATGAACTTGACAAAAAAACGGGAATGATCAAGGTAATCATGCATAGTCAGTCATTAATCTCAGTATCTGTTTTTGATCGTTAATGGTTGCTAAAGCCGATACATGTTGCAGGTTGACTGTGTGCTTTACTCATCAGTTGTTTACCCCCATAATTATGGCTTCATCCCTCGTACTCTCTGTGAGGACAAGGACCCCATGGATGTCTTAGTTATCATGCAGGTGTGCTGTTTGATATGCATTTTTTCACATTTGCAAACATTTGCAGACATTTGCAGATTATGCATGCAATATTGGTTTTCATATTACGGATATACCGAAAATTTTGAGGCTTGATAAAGCTTAAATGTAGCAAGTAATGTTTTACATGAAATAATTCAGAACCCAGTGATCCTGTGAGAGAATGAGCACGCTTTGGGAAATATTTTCTATTGAGAATAGTAGAAATAAAAAGGTAGTCAATGAGGTGTTCAGGCAGGGTATTTTAAAAAATAAAAAAGCCCCAGAAAAATTAAGTCTATTTACCTTGGAATGAACCTTAGTCATGTTAGATTTTCAACTACATTGTCGTATAATTAAGGGGAAAAAGGTTCATGTCTTGCTTGGTGGATTTGTCAGCATTTCGTTTCATTTAAATCAGACCCTAAAAAATTATATATTTTCGGGTGTCCTATGTAATGAAATTTAGCAGAACCCATAGTTTTATCTGTCATGAACAGATTGTAGGACAGCTGTGCCAAGTCATGTAAAGATAGTGATCACAGTAATCAGGCCACAACTTACCTCTTACATGAACCACATTATTTGCTTTCAAGCTTTCTTGACCACCCAAGGACAATAGTATTGCAGCCTTGCACTTGCACCTCATTTGGGTGGACAGCCCACATCGATTGGCTGAGATCCGCCACTTCTTTGAGGACTGTATCCTTCTAAAAGTTTTAGTTCATATTGTGCAATTGACTCTGCGTTGTGTAACAATTTTTTCTAGTCTATACAATTCTTTTCTTTAAGGAAAATGGGTACAAAAGGAATGTATCGAAAGAATGTTATTCTTTAGTTTGTTATATTGAAGAACTCTCTTTTATGTTTTGAATGATGTCAACTTGAGAATTGAATTCATTTTATAATCCACAGATTTCTTCTCTTAGTGCTCCAATTCATTTGAATTCCTTTTTCTTTTTTTGTCCATTGATTAAAATTTCTTTACAAAGTTGCTCCTTTTATTTTCCCAAAACAAAAACCACATGTGATTTAAGGCAATTATTGACAAGATATTCCAGTGTTTCATCCTTATAATATGTGGAAGCTTTGGAAATCAGAGAATTTCTCTGGACCAAACCAGAGAATTTCTCTGGACCAACTCAATTTTCTCTGAAACAGAGCACTAGTTCAACTCAGAGAATTTCTCTGGACCAATCCAATTTTCTCTGAAGCAGAGCACTAGTTCAACCCAGAGAAAATTGAGTTCAAACTAAAGAATTTCTCTGAACCAACCCAATTTTTTCTGAAGTATAGCACTAGTACTCATTGTTGTCTAAAGAAATTTGAAATTTTCTCTGTGATATGTCCAGAGAAATTTGAAATTTTTTCTGTGATTTGTCCAGAGAAATTTTTTGGATTGAATTTTCTGTGGATTGATGTTGAGAAACTTTAGACATTATGAAAATATTGAGTGTCTTTTATGCTGTAAAATCTTAATACCAGGGACCTTAAAAAAAATTCCCTAAAAGAAATTTAATGCACAGAGAAAAAAATACGATTTTTTTAAACAATTGCCGAATATATATAAATTTTATTAAAAAAAATTATCTTTTCACAAACAAAAAGTAAAGGTAAACACATGTTTACACCGGCTAAGTTTTCAAACTAAATTTAAATAATTTACTTTTTGAATCAATAAGCTTACATTAGTTTTAAAATTATAATTTGAGTGTGAAGTTATATTTTGAATTTTTAAATTATGATTTGAAAAGAGAAAATTTGTTTGATTATAAGTTTTAAAAATAATTTTGAAATGATTTGTAATTTTTTTTTTAATTAAATAAATAGATGTGAGAGAAAAATTAATTAATTAATGTTTAAGATGCGAGAGAAAAATAGAGGAGAGAGAAAATAATTTAATAAAATTATAAACCAAACATTTTTTTTTTGAAATTTCATTTAAAAAATTGATTCGAAAATACAACCAAACGTTTAGTTAACATTTTTCATCCCAATTATAATTTAAAAACATAATTGAGTATCCAAAAGCAAACCAAACCTTATCTAAGTTATTCGAGCTTGTTAAAATCTTGTTCAACTCATATCAATTTGTTAAAATCTTGTTTAATATCAACTCGTTATGTAAATAAATCAAACTTAAACATAATTTAACAGTCGTTAAGTTATCAAATCAAACTTGAAAAACTCAACACACAACTTGCCTTTCAGCCCTAATTATATAACCGAATACAGTTCCAGCTTTCCGAATAGAGAACTTTTCCCACTGGCCGAACAGGAGCAGGAAAATGGTTTATAATAAACTATGGTCAAAATTCCAACACCAACCACACATGAAATAACATAAACCAGGAACACCCACCGACTAGAATCGATGAAGAACAAGAGCACGACAATTTCCTTTAAACCAAGAAAAAAGAAAGGCCAGCTTAGATTGTAAAAACTCATCTACAGACAAAACCTGAAGTTTGTGAGGATGTCAATGCAGACTTACCAATAGCAGCACTGCAGAAGAAAATTGTCAAAAGTTTCCGAAGTACTATAACTACAGTCAACAAGACCCTAAAACAGTACTTTATTTATTAACACCATGAATGAGAAGAAAGGAGTACTCGGTGGTGATTGAAGATAAGGCTCATGTAGCCTCTGCAATGGAGAAATGCAACTCTCTGACAGATTTCTTAAGGAAACTACTCCCACAATATGAGTTTGGACTACCAACACCAAAACCCCCCGATTCACCGCAAGGCTCATTATAGTCGACCACTCTGTCATCATTGTCTAGCATTTGGTAATACTTGTTAGAACTCCCACTATGTTTTCGAACGTGTTTCTTGTCCTTACTGCTGCTCCCTTTAGAAGGTTTGCCCTTCTGCTTGTTTTTTCCGTTCTTATAATCATAATACCTCTTACTTTCACTCTTGGGCCGTGGTTTCTTGATCTTCCCAGATGTGGATATAGATATTGATGGAGGAGGATCATACACATCAGGCGCCCATCTGACGGTCAGTTTCTCTGGAGGTGTCATCCCCTGTTTCTCACGACTACCCTTTATGGCAGTTACTAGCTTTGAAGGAGTCTGCAAGAAAGCAAAACATGAAGAGAAAAGAATAAACAGAACTGTCCAAAAAAAAATGTGGCTCGAGGAAGATACTAGTTCTCATCATGTACATTCAATCAGCTACTGGTCCATGATTGTACAGCCATTACAAAAAATTCCAAATATAATTATATCTTTGGTTATCACCAGCTTCCACACAACAATCTAATATAGAAGCCAAGGGTAAAAGAAATTTCAGCCAGCCTGAAATGATGTCCAATGTCTCCAAAATTTAAAATGTTTTGCTTAGATTTTCTTTTTTCTTTTCAAACGAAAAAAGTTGATAAAAGAGAAAACTAGAAAGAATTGGTACCATATAAGTAACCATTTCAGTCAACTAGTGGCAACTTGCAACATAAATCACACGCTTAACATACAATGCAACTTCCAATCAATTACGGGTTACTTGGACAAAAATGCATTCATTATAGTATCATCTACCTAAGATATATTAGAATTGTAAAAAGTATCTTAACTAATCCGGCTCAGGTAGAACGAATGGGAAGGTGGAACACACTTAAGAGGCACCTAATACACACATAAATGCTTCCCTTAGAATGTAACAAGATTCAACCCCAACTGCCTCTGGCATGCATACCCTACACTTGTAAGAAACTGAAAAACACGCATTGAAAATAATGATCAAAATCCATTAACTACTTCCAAATAGCATCTGTAGTAACATCCTAACTACAATTAAAGCATCCACCTAACTACTGTCCAAGTACTTGCAAATGAAACGAGCAACTTTTAAGACAATTGATTATGTCTTGAATTGCTCCGGCATCAAACTCACATGATAGGAATCCAAGCATCATGACTTGGTAATAATATGAAGAAAAAAAAAAAACATAAAATGAAAACAAATATAGTGCAAACTTACAGGCAAGGAAATGGATTGAGGGCATGCAGGATTAACAGATTCATGGCCATTTTTCTCCAATACTGCAGCATTTATGTCATCTTCCACATTTGCAGACACAGCAAGGGATGCTTTCTTACCAGAGCATGCAAATGTTGCACATTTGGGAAAAAATTTCTCAGAAGTTACAGTGGTTGGTTCAGTTTGATCTAGATCTTTGCATTTATCTTCCTTCTCCACATTGAAGTTATCAGTCTTGTCGGCAGGTTGAACTAAATTGGAGCTTGATGCCAATTTTTTATCATCTTGAATATGTAAAAATTCAGTCAGACTGTTCCCAAGCTCACTGAGAGAAACATCTTCCAGGACATAACATGTACATTGTGATGGCTCTGGATAAAGCTGCTTCAAGTCATCAGACCTGTTAACATCTTGAGAAACTAGCGCACCCACAGGAGAACCAGTGTCCTTATGAAAATCCTGAGCTGTCAGGCAAAACTTCTTAGTCAAAGGACAAAATGCTCATAAACAAAATCAAATGAATAGATTTCTCCTGTGAAAAGATCGCCAAGCTTTATTATTATTTGAAAAAGGAAAAAAAGAAAAAGAGGCTATTTAAAGAAACATGTCACAAAGCGTGTGCTCGTATATGAAGCGAGCTGGCTCCAGAAATGATGGAAAATCATCTGAAGTTTGTGGGTAGGGAGGATGCATCAACAGCTTAAACTAGAAAAATTCAGCCTTCCCATTGGAAAGATATTCTGTCCACATAAAAACCACACGCCACAGATACAAATTATAATAGGAAAAATTCCTACATTTATGCTAATTATAACCATTCTTATAAGTACTATCAATATAAACGTGACAAAGCTGTTTCTGAAATGGGTATAGAGTCCCGTATAGATTATCAATTTCTTGAACATCATTACATCTCAAGTTCTAAACAGTGGAAATAAGTTGGGGAGGAAGCGACAGAGAGATTGATGATGCTAATGATCAAAGGCTATGGTATATAAAGATTCAAGATAAACACTTGTCACATCTTTATGTAGACAGCTGGAAAAAAAAATGGCAATTTTAACGTAAGAAGTAAACAAAATAAGCCTACCAAGTACACGGCAACAATGTTTTATTGATCATGAAGTATTTGAAATGCCAACAATAACTTGAGGCTTCTGATCTCATTACAACAATTGAAAAAATAAGACTGTCAACAAAGCAGCCGACTTCCATTGGTTCTCTCATACAACCACATCAAACAAGACTCTTCGTAACCAATAAAATAAACCATAGTGCAAATTAAGTATGATTAATATTGCAATAAAATTAGTACAAAAGCTGACAACATTTGAACTTACTCATATCCAGGATAAGATAAATGCAATATTCAGAGGGTGAAATTGTATAAAAAAGATATCTATAAAGACACAAGATTAAATAGTAGTTGAACAACCAAACATTGTAGGCTCGTGAAATTCAAACATGTGAATTTTAAAAACAAAAGTTCAACAAAAGTAATTTTCTCAGGGGAAAAAATTAACACAAAATCAACCATAAAAATACTAATTTTAAGTAACAGAATCAGTGTTAAGCTTTAAGAGAATCAAAACGTGTTACAATTTAAAGAGCACATAGATGCGGACAGGCCTCTAAGGACCATGATCAAGATAAAGACAAGACAACTAAGCCAACTTGATATTTTGGCATTATCGCCACAAAGAAAAGCTTACGAATTTTTCAGTTGCAACTAGTATTTATGACACTACTTGATTCAAATGGTTCTCACGAAGACCGGATATATCTAATTAAATTTCAAATTTGACAGACCATCTTTCAAAATTAAGGAAACTTAATTTTTGTAACAATCAAACTGATTTAAACTCTATCTATCATGTTAATAAGAAGGGGAAAAAAGAAGGATAATTTCACTTTCGTCCCTAAACTATCACCATTTTTTCTATTTCATTCCTAAGCTATCACTTTCGTCTATTTAGTCGCTAAAGTTTCTAATTTGTCTTCATGTGGTCCAATTGGAGAATGATTATAGAACTTAATAACAGTTGAAAACTAATTTGACCCAAAGAACGTATTTCATAAATTTGAATATCTTAAACAATACAACAAAAAACTAATTTTTCTTACCAATTTGAATAAACTACACCCCATGACTTATTTAATGGGTTTTTGTCGTATGATTTAAGCTGTTTCAATTTTAAAATTACCCTTTTCCAATCAAATTTGGTTACAATCGTCGACAATTGAACCACATAAGTAAAAATTGTCTCTAGTAGGACTATATGAAATCATAGGGGAAAAAATTGTGGTAATTAAGGGGATAAAAGTGAAATTAAACCCCCTAAAATAAATAAATAAATAACTGCCGGTGCATGTATCAAGTTCCCAAACTTCTGGCAGGATTGGCATCTCCTTACAAAGTTTTTAGCATCTTCTTCCATTGTCGGCCAGTAGTAGCTTAGGTGAATGAGATGTCCATATAATCGCTGCCCTCCTTGATGTTGTGGGCTTCCCTCGGCACCTCATTTGCCTCATCCTTTGGTCAAGGAAGAAGCGGAGGGCCCGCCTCTTAAATATGAGTGCATCGGCTTTGTTCTCAGGCAGTGTGCCATTTCCAAGGTAGTCGACATATGGCTGCCTCCATTCTTCACTGCTTAAGAAATGGGCTTCCTCTTCCTTAGGACGGGATTGACATTTTGCACATTGCCACTGCAACTCAGTACTTTAATTTTCCATCTGTGGCCAATAATACCCTTGCCTTTGTATCCGTCGGTATAGACCGATATCTCCATCTCCACGAGACTTAGCATAGATCTGCTTAAGTCTGTAAGTTGCTTCTAGTCTACCAACGCACCTTGCCAGCAAGTTGTTGGCACCGCGAAAATACAACTCTCCTCTGAGGAGCAGAAATTATGCAAGCTCTGCTGGTCTGATTGTTCCCTGGCCTGTTTTCAACTGTTCTGTTGGATTATATCTGTTTTCCATCCCTCAGCATCTTGCTCTGTATGTTCTTCGGCTAACACTGCTGGTGTTGCTTATTTCTCGATGACGATGGCTATACTATCATCTGGTATATCCACCTTTGCCCCCAGTGTAGCCAAGGCATCGGGGAAACGGTGTGTGTTCGAGGGGTATACTGGATTTCGACATCATCAAGTTGAGTGAGCAACCCTTGAACCACGGTGCGATACAGGCCCAACAGAGGCTCCTTTAAGGCGAAATCACCATTGTTTACTTGACAACTAACTCGGAGTCGCCCAAAATTTTCAACTTGCGGAGTCCCTTCTTTTGGGCAGCGATTAGACCCAGTATCAACGCCTTATATTCAACCTCGTTGTTTGAACATTCAAAATCAAGCTTATATGATAGATGAAACTTCTCTTCTTCTTCACTGGTTAGTGTTATGCCAGCTCTGCCTTTCCCAGATCCCGAAGCTCCATCAAATTTTAAGTCCCGATAAGCTTCAACTGCAGCTGCTGAGACATGGACCGCACCTGGTAGAGATACCTCTGCAGGTTCATGTTCACCAGATGGGAATTGGGCCAGTAAGTCTGCAAGTGCTTGGCTCTTAATAGCCTTGGGAGTAACACAAGTGATGTCATATTCTGCTAGAGCCAAAAGCCACGCCCCCGCCATCAGGAAAAGCACGCTTGAACTCTATATCATTGATGTATGCTGTGACAAAAAGAGGACATTCCGGGGTCACAACATGGATCGGGTGTGCCAAAAAATAGTGGCGCAACTTCCGCGCTGTGAAGATTAAAGCTAAACAATGCCTCTCAATTGGGGTATATCGCGACTCGACACCATTGACTTTGCGACTGATGTAATAGACTGGCTTCTCAATACCATCTACATCTTGGACAAGTAGAGCCCCAATAGATCGAGGTGTAGACATCAGGTACAGGAGCAGAGGCTTGTTGGGTTGTAGGGCAATCATTGTAAGTGCTTTCTTCACCACATCAAATGCCTGCTGGTGTTCTTGCAACCATTCAAACTTCTGATTCCCTTTCAGTAGTGTCCCAAAGGAAAATGTTATCTCAGCAAGGGCTGGAATGAACCTCCTGAGATATGACACTTTGCCTAGGAAATTCTTCAAAGCCTTTTGAGAGTGTGGTGGTGGCATCTCCACGATTGATTTAATCTTATCCCCATCTACTTTAATCCCCCGCCGGTGTAAAAAAAAAGCCAAGGAACTTGCCGGCGGTAACTCCGAAGGCACACTGGAGAGAGTTCATCTTTAGGCAGAATTTACGGCACCGCTGAAAAGCTTTTTCCAAGTCGCAGAGGTGTCGGTTTGCCTTGGTAGACTTGACCACCAGATCATCCACATATACTTCCACTTCATGATGCAACATGTCATGAAACACTGCAACCATAGCCCGTTGGTAGGCTGCCCCTACGTTTTTCAAACCGATGGGCGTCACCGTATAAAAAAATTTCCCAAGGGTGTTCTAAATGCCGTTTTTTCTGCATCTTATGATGCCATTTTGATCTGGTTATAACCACTGAACGCATCCATAAGGGAGAACATCTTATGGCCCGAAGTAGAATCGACAAGCGTGTCGACATGGGCAATGGAAACTCATCTTTCGAGCAGGCCTCATTCATTCAGGTCAGGAAAGTCTACGCAGACCCTGATCTGGCCGTTTTTCTTCTCCACAGGCATAATATTTGCTAGCCAAGTTGGGTACTGTATAGGCTCAATGAACTTGACCCTCAGCAATTTTTCTACCTCTTAATCTTTTCCTCAAGGTCAGGGTGATACTTTCGAGCATGTTGCTTTATTGACTTAGAGATGGGAAAAGTATTCAGGTGATATTGTATGTCCAAACAAAGACGTCACTGTACCGCTTCAGTAGTGTTATCAATTCTGCCTTAGCTGTTGGAGCCATTGTGTCGCTGATGAACACGGGGCTTGCTCTGCCCAGGTAAGTCGCTGAGGTTCACCTCAGAAAGCACCTCCTGCTGCGGTTAGGGTCTATCTTGCATGCATCCAGGGGCGGGCTCAGGCGTCTCCAACAACTCCTCTTGGGACTCGTCATCGTCACATTTATTTGTTTCAGGGCCTACCTCCCAAGGTATGAAGCCTGCCATTCAAGACCCGTCTTAGGTAGTAAACTGTCTTACCGCCCTCCCGCACCTTAACAATCTTGGGCGGAGGACTTGTGGACTTGTTGCTCCTCTTCTGCCCATTACTTTCTAGAGTAGCCCCTGCATCCCGAATGCCTTCCCATTTTGGCAATTTTACTCCTGCAACTTTACCGGTCCTTGGAGTTTCACCCGTTGACAACTCAGTAAAGAAAACTGCATCCGAATAGTGTGCCTCCTCAACCCCAAATGGCTGTTCAGACGCATTTATATGGTCACTGTTCGCTTTCCCAACTTTGCCTTCACGCATTGGTGATAACTCGACGGGATAGCTCCATATCGGTGCATCCAAGCTCTGCCAAGTATCATGTGGCAATTTGTGCCCGCTTCAATCACATGAAACTTAGTTGTGGAACGGATCTCACCAACTGCAAAGCCCACGACCACATGACCCTTGGTATCTTTTTTCTAGCCGCCAAAACCCGTCACAGTGATGGGTTGGCGAACCATCCTGGGCTCAGGGATCCCAGCCATTGCAAAGGTGTCAGTAGTGATGATGTTTATGGACGCCCCCGCCATCAGGAAAAGCACGCTTGAACTCTATATCATTGATGTATGCTGTGACAAAAAGAGGACAATTATGGGGAAATAGGTATGCTCTATCTGCCTCTGAAAAAGTAATGGCCCCCATAAGCTTCATGAATGCGCCGAGGCACATACTCCTTAGCCTCAGCAACTTCATCAAGGCACTGGGTATAGGCTCAATGATGTATGCTGTGACAAAAAGAGGACAATTATGGGGAAATGGGTATGCTCTTTCTGCCTCTGAAAAAGTAATGGCCCCCATAAGCTTCATGAATGCGCCGAGGCACATACTCCTTAGCCTCAGCAACTTCATCACGGCGCACTTCAAAAATCTTTATGAGTGCTTTTGTTGGTCAAAGAAGGCGCAAAACTTAACAGAGTTTAGCAAGGCCTGGGCATTAGCATCCTCTGCGAATTTTGCCTCTGAAGGTACTGTCTCAGGGAGCTGGCAGGTTGCAATTTCTTCTAACTCATCATAGTAAGACGCCATATGTACTTGATCATGCACAGGCCCGAGATAGCCAATCATATATGTACACCTTCTGTACATCACGGTTACCGGCATCTTAGAACTTCGGCTCATTTGCGTCAACTTTCTTCTTAAAGATACTTTTCAAAGTACAACAGTCCCTAGTAGGATGTCTGGTGGTTCTGTGATAGACACAATTTGAATGATACTGCAGTTCAAGAAAAAAGCAAATATCACAATCACAAAGTTAAAAAGCTACATAAAAATATTGTTGTACTAAATGCCCATTATTAGCAAATATGGTGCTATTAACTTTATTTTATTGGCTGCAAATACGGTGCTATTGTTAATAGGCAACAATCTTGTCAGATTTGCTTTTCCTATTTCTAATTAGATAACCAATCAATGTTTCAAATTAGATTTCAAATATAATTCTAAAAAGCTCATCTTTGAGAAAAAAACTAACGTCGATCATTTTTTATTTTTTACTTTTTTAAAAAGGTAAGGAAACAACAACTGCCATGCCATTTGAACTGCTCGTAGGTAGTAATTCAAAGCTGGGACAATGGAGTACATACACTAGTATGATCCCTAAAACAATGGAGTACCTACTACACTACAATGCAGTCAAAAGAAGTCATGACAATAACCAATTAGTGATCCCCAAGACAAAGGTAGCCTTTCTATAGTCACTGCAAAGTCCCTTTCTCTAGTAATAACATGCATTGCAGTAATCAGCTACTTGGTCATATCATGGCAAACAATATGCTGCCAAGACCAGCCATGATATTGCTCCCATTATTTGCACAACTACCGCGCACCTAAATAGTAAATACAGAGTCTCTAACAAGGTAGCCCACTTAAAAGAGTATTTTCTGAACTGATTACAACCATGTCAATTAAAATTCTAAACTAATTCTCTGCAGATTATTGCTCCTATCAAATAAATTAATCGTTACAAACAACTCTGCACTCAGTTCTGATACAAATTCAAGAAGACGTACATTCAATATAAAAATTTCAAGTTCTAAACTTTACTTTAACAACGAGATTCTTATTTTATTTTTTATTTTTAGTCTCTGCATTCAAAGAAAAAACAAGAATTAATTTAAAATAGTATAGATTATCATATATGAATGATAAACCTGCATTTGATATTTTAGAACTTAGTTACAACTGGGATCTACCATTTACGTGGAATTTTCCCACAAAGAACTTCAATGTAGGTAAAGTTTTTAAAAGAATTGATATTCTACATGATTTATCTCTACTAATTACTTCATGCTATAATTTCTTTTAATAATTTATATACATGGTTATAGATGAAGAAAACTAGGTTTGCTCTGAGTTCTAACTGGATCAGAAAAACATTGTGCCAAAGTTTCAACTTGAATCAATCCATGTTTTCTTTTTTCTTCCTCCCCCTTACTCTTCATCTTCCATTCTAATTCAAATAAAATCAAACTGATGAGCTTTCTCTATGAATCTCATCCAATATAATAGAGCAATCAATCACCAATCTAACAATTGCAAAGCAATCAGACAATAAAATTACTTACAAAAACTCTCTGTATAACATATCAAATCCAACTGTTGAGCAGATCAAGAGGACAACAATTCAAATATAACTTTTGATTACAGCACCACAGGAAAATGTACACTTAAGGAGCTTCAAAATCTGAATATAAACTAGTTTACAACTCAAATGAAATCTAACAAATTTGTTTTTTTGCAACCACCATATATATATATATATATTTTTTTTTTTTCATTTATTAGAAAATGAAATCTAAGAAAAAAATATATGAAAGACAATACATGAATTTTTTTAATTTTCTAAAAAATGTACCTGAGATAAAGAGCAAGATAGATCTGATCTGATTCAAACTCGATTTCGAATTTGCGATTTGCAAACTCAAATGGAAGCTAATAGCGAGAGAGATTGAGTTCGAGTTCGAGTTCGATTAGCCTCGAGATCGATGAAGAACAGAGATCGTTGCGATTGATGAAGAACAACTAGAACAAACCCATGGTGGAGACGTCCAGAGAGTGAGAGCTTGCGAAGAAGATGTCGACATGGCTGAAGCCCGGATCGCTGACGAGGCTGGTGGTCCTTGGAAGCTTCAGCTATGGCGGAAGAGAAGAGGGAGGAGAAGAGCCAACAACATGGCCAAACACGACTGATTGAATTTTGTTTCCCCTTCTAACCGGTGTAGCCGGTTGCCTATTTGAGAGTTAAATTATTTAAGTAATTTAGTTATGACCTAATTATGAGATAATATGGTATAAATAAGTAACTGAATATAACTAAGTTATGACTCAATATGGTAGTGATTATGACTAATATGATGTTGGTTATGACATAAAATCATATAAGTTCATAACTAAATGTATGGTACATCTAAATGTACCATAGCATCACCCTATGATTTTATGGTAACATTTAATTTCCTATATAGGAAATTGAATGTTGCTATAGATCATAAGTGTCACGTTACGTTTATGTAGGTGTCACGTTACGTTACCTTACGTTTATAAAGATTTGATCTATGCTAACATTTAATTTCCTATATATGGTTTTACTATTATTTATGATATTAACAACTAATATTTGGGGTAAATATGTCAACAAACTTTGCACAGGACTTATGAAAACCTAAATTTTTTAGTAGGATCATATATAGAATAAGTTTTTATAATAAGACTTACAAATAATTTTTCGTAATTTTTATTCGAGATGCATTAAAGAAAGAAATGTGCAATTTACTTTTGATTGCATTAGTTTTAAGTATGGATAAGTATGGAAAATGTTAGAGAGCCAAAAGAAGATTTATCATAATTTATTTTGTAATGTTACGAAAGTTTTTGGATAAATTAGGCTCACTACTCTTGTGGTCGGAGAAAATATAATTAGATTTATACTTTTGACATTATTATATTCACTACTTTATTAAATTTTTTATCAAATTTAAATTTGATAAAAAATTTAGTGAAAATAATATTCCAACTGTTTCACTAAATTGGTATCAAATGAAGGGAGTCATATATATATATATATATATATATTTATCAAATTAAGGAAGCGTTTAATTTTATATCAAATTTCGCAGATGATCGTTGATAGACGACTGCATGGTCAATTGGGTGGACAACTGGTTGGACAACGGGGTGGAAAACCAAGTTGGAAAAAATTTGAAGAAGATTTAAACTAGGCCGGACAATCGCCCAACATCCTCTCGGTCGACTGGTTATTTGATGAAAATTAAAAATTTACCTTAGTATCTGATGAAGCTTTTAGCCCAAATCTTTATTCAAATTTGATAAAAAAAAAAAGTAAGCGTTAGAGATGTATCAAAACTAATGTAGATGGTGATAGATACTAAAATAAATAAATATAAATATATATTTTAATAGAAAAGAGATCACATTATTTTTTCATAGCAAAAACAAGTTACTAATAAAAAAGGATCTAACTATTACATAAATCAAAATTTAAAAGTGAAATCAATATAATTATATTAAAAGAGTGAGATTAATTGTATTTTTCTAAGTGTAGGTTACTCTTTCCTTTGTTTTTTTTTTCTTGCTTTTACAGTGGGTGTAATGAGTAAGAGGAGGTGTCAATAGAATTACCCACTCAGTCCACAGCCAGTAAATGCTTTCACGGTGACCTAAAACCCATACGAGAGCACTCGAACCAGAGACATCAAACTCCCCAAAATCTCAGCAATCATGGCGGATTCTCACCATTAGACATTCTTCCCCAATCACATCTCACTCCATCTCTCAACAAAAGTTGTATATATATATACACATATACATACACATATTCAGAGATTTAGCTGAATTGGAGAGAGATGAGATCAAATCCAAGCCTAGTATGTCTCTTGATTATTGTCACTCTGAGTCTCCTTCTTCTTCATTCAGACTCTGCACCTCAAGCTTTTCGCAGAGATCCAGGGCACCCTCAGTGGCACCATGGTGCCTTTCATGATGTCAAAGATAGCGTCCGATCGGACGTTCGTCGCATGCTCCATTCTCGCGCTGAGGTATATATCATATCAACTGTGTTGATTAACAATTTGTTTGTATGAGAACTCGATTGCTCTTGTTTTGATTCATCTGAACTGATAAATTGCAATTTGCATACAATTTGAATTTAATTTACTTGTTTTGGCTGCTTTTGTTTATTAATCTGTATAGTTGTTGTGTTGCAATTTGCTTGGTGATGGATTTATTGTTAGTTTTTCAGTCTCAATAAGTCAAAGCATTGGCTGCCACATTTGCTGCTAGGACAATTGTTGTCAAATTGCAAATTGAATTGTGAATCATTTTAATAAAATAGTGAATCGTGAATTGTGTTGAATCATGAATAGTAGGATTCACTTTATTTAGCATAATATATAATTATATATATGTGTGTGTGTGTATGAAAATACACGCATGGCTTTTGAAATGAAATAAATATCAATAGAACTAAATTGTATACATGTATATAAATATAAAACAACATTGTTCTCTCTTTTGCAAAACTAATGTTGTTTGTTTCATACATTATGTGAACAAAACTGAATGGCAATAAATCAAAATGAATTGGAATTGAATCCTACAATTCATTCATTCAATTTAAGATTCAATAACATGAATCAAAACGTTTTGGTTAAAAATCATATCAAATCGTATGAATTGAATCACGCATGAATCGCAAGATTCTAAGAACCATGGCTAGGACTACGGGGAATGAAGCATAAAAGACATGTGACGTATATTGAAGCCCAAAAATAGATATCTCTGCGCTTGAGCTTGCACTCATGTTGTATAAATGTGCTTGACTTGTCTATGTTTTGATTAGGGTCCAACTGGTTATTTACTCTGCTTTTGATTTGTTCTAATTTCCCATCTAAAATAATGATAAAAAGATATGTTCATTTGAGTTCTCTGCTTTGTGATTGAGAGTAGTGAATCTTTAGCAAATTATTAGGCCTTCATTGCTATATTTTTTTTTACTAGTCCGAGTCTATTGGACTATCTGGTGAAAATTGTGAGTGTTAGCTCACATGGAACTAATCTAGAGCAGCATGTACTTGAGATTCTGCTTGGAAACAGAATTAAGGGAGATAAGGGTATATGGTTTGAAGAACGGACAATATTTGATGTAATCATCTTGTGGGAAGCTATGTCACAGATGTATAAAACTCAGACTCATCCATCGAAAAAAAAATATTCCTTAATGCTTAAGTCATCCAAAACCTAACATGATAACAAAAGTTTCTTTTAATCTGCCTATAAGATTTTGGAATTTTTTTATTTCATTCTTGAATGTATGAGGTTAATCATTTGGTGAGTTTGCTTCAAATGCCTAATCATGCACATTTGTCGCTTGCAGGTTCCATTTCAGGTCCCGCTTGAAGTAAATGTAGTCCTTGTTGGTCTCACTGGTGATGGTGGCTATAGGTACTCAATTGATTCACACAAATTGGAAGAGTTTCTGAGAGTCAGCTTCTCATCTCATAGGCCCTCATGCCTGGAGACTGGCGAGCCCCTTGATATCGAGCATCACATAGTGTATAATGTCTTTCCTGTAAGATTCTTCTAGATTATGGTTCTTAAGAATTTCATTCCCATCCTAGATATAGTTTGAAACTTCAAACTTCCACCTTGGGCTTTTGCATGATCTTTACTATTTCACCTAAAATTATATTGTGCCATATGTGTTTTTGCATGAACTTAGTGAACCATATTTCGTCTTTTCAGAATGATGTAAGGTTGATATTGCTGAAAGGGGTTAAAAAGATGAAGCTGAATAGTGGATTACATTATTACTACATCTTTAATTTTGGTGCGGATACTTTACTTCACATTTTAATCGTATATATTCTCAGAACAGGCTGGGCAGCCAGAATTGATAGAACTTGAGAAGGCACTGTAGTGGTGTAGTGGGTTAGGTTTAGTGGAGTAGGTTTAAGTGGGTGAAGGTTTAGTGGAGTAGGTAGATTTTAACATACATCTTTAATTTTGGTGCGGATACTTTACTTCACATTTTAATCGTATATATTCTCAGAACAGGCTGGGCAGCCAGAATTGATAGAACTTGAGAAGGCACTGAAGGCAGCAATGGTTCCTGCTGGGACTTCTAGAGAGGTGATTGTGATTGTTTATCTCAACCACAACTACAAGTCTTGTTTGTTTTTGGCCATTTACAAATATAGCTTGTCTCACAATAAAGTTCTCATTTATTTGCATTTGTAGACTGACTTTGGAAGAGAGGTGCCTGCTTTTGAGGTGGATGCAATGGCTGTGGAGCCAGTTTTTCATAGTCTTTATTCATACATATTTGACATGGAGAGTGGGAGATATTCTGGAGAAGAGATGGACAGACCTGTGCCAAGTGCAATATTTATTGTTAATTTTGATAAGGTATCTATATTGCCTTGTCTTTTATCTGAAACTGAAATCACTATGTTTTTCGTGGAATCTACTTACAAAGTTTATAGTACCACACCACCCTTAAGGAGACACTAGGTATGAATGCATCATTGTGACTTCTTTTCCTGTACTGATGCTACTTCCTTCACAGGTCAGAGTGGACCCTAGGAAGAAGGATATTGACCTCGAAAGTCTAATGTATGGAAGAATTTCTCAGCTAACTGAGGAAGAGATGAAAAAACAAGAGGGAGATTATGTTTACCGTTATCGTTACAATGGAGGTGGTGCCTCTCAGGTTTGGCTGAGCTCTGGCAGGTATAGTTGGTATACACTAATTTTGTGAAATATATTTGAGCTTGATATTAATTTTCCTAAGGCTACTATTTCTTAAATATGTTATGAAAAAAATTACTTTGTTTATTTGTATAGATACATATATACATATATGATATATATAGATAGATACACATATATTGCCATATCCTTAATGCATCCGTTTCTTACTATTTCAGAACTTTCCATATCAATGTATCTGTATTGGTATCCATGCTTAACAGAGCATTTAAAACTGACCGCATTCATTGGTTTTGCAATTAAATTTGTTGGTTAACATGTTGTCTCCTACCAAGTAAATCTGAAAAACGGCTAAATAATGATCTTAATTTTAAGTTGGAGAGCCTTGACTTATCATTAAATGCTGAATACGTCAATGAAAAGTAGTTTTCTTTTTCATTCTCAAATAACACTTTTTATCTTAAAATTTGAAAATTCAAAATTCAGAACTTAAAATTATCAGCATTAGAAATTCAGTACTAAAAATTCTGGATACTTAATTTTCAGTTTTATCAAACAGGGTCTGAGTATCAGTGTTTCTTGGTATTGCCTTAGTACAGTTCAAGCTCGGGTTGAGCTTCTGTGTCAGTATCACCAAGCTGAAACTGAAATCAGCTTCAGTTGGTTTAGTGACTTATTTGCAGCCTGTGCCTGTCTCTGTGTCTGTGCCATTGAATTATGCAATCATTAATTGTTTCATACTTTTATGGAATAAAGTTAAGAATATATTAAACTCCCTACCAGAGATTAGCACTAATCATAAATACTTATATATCTTTAGAGTAATGCATATTTATGCCTCTGTTTATTTATATGGACATGCCAAAGAAAAATAAATAAATAAAAAAATGGAAGAAGAAGAAGATAAATCAACTTAGGTTGAAGCTAAAAGAAGAAATTCCAGAGAGAATCATACTGTCGGGTGTGTAGTGGGAGGAAAAAAAAAAAAAATGCCAAATCTTCTTTTGATGACACATAAATACTTGAAAGTAGGGATCTGAAGGAGAAGTTTCTATGATGATTCAGGAGGTGCATTTTCTTAAGTTAGTACCAGAAACCATGTTTTGGTGTGCAAGTTTTCATGGTTTTCTGAACTATGATGACAAATTCATCTTTCCATCATATTGGTTCAGCTGATTTTTCTTTTTACGTGAAGAATTTACACTCTTCATGTCTTCTTTTGTGAATTCAGATTTGTTGTGATCGACCTCTCAGCAGGCCCTTGCACATATGGAAAAATTGAAACCGAAGAAGGCAGTGTCAGTTCCAAAACACTCCCCCGGTTACGGAATGTGATGTTTCCTAGAGGCTTGAGTGTTGCTAATGATCATTCTGCCCATGATATTTTTGTTGGACAAGTGGCTGCTCTGGTTGCAACTACAATTGAACATGTTATAGCTCCTGATGTTAGGTATTGTAACACTATTTTGCTACACTCCTGACATTATGTTACTACTTTGATGAATTTTCGGTTTTTGCACTGTAACTGGTGTTTCATGCTTTAATGCTAGGCTATGTATATAATTATGGATGTCGAGAATGACCGCTCTACTTAGATCTTCCATTAGAAAAGAAGGTTGATCTCCAATGATATATAGGCCTATAATTTTTCGTAATAAACTTTTACAGGGCACATTTTGCTTGCACATCTCAGATAATAGCAGTATTGTTTGCAGAAGTATTATGTTTGTTGCATTCAATCAAATCTAGGTGACCTCAGATTCCAACCATAATAATAATGTTATTACGTACATACTCCAGCTGCTTGCATGTTTTGAAAGAGAGATAAATTAAGCAGTCTCAGATCTTCTGATCATGTTAAGTCGTTGCTGTTTAGGTCTTATGTGGGCCTCCGATATTATTTGTTTCTAGTCTTTTGTTTGCATACTTTGTGTATTGTCATCTAAATCGGTGTTGACGCACTATTATTTTCAGAATTTAAAAAGAAAAAAAAAAGTTTCCCTTGAAGCCTGAGATGAATGTCAAGTTATCTTCTTGACGTATCATCCAATTTGTGCAATTGTGTCAATTGCTGGGCAAACACCTAATTTAGCCTAAACAACTAGCATTGGACAGTGAATCCCTTGAGAGACCTAGTTGCCTGGGGGCTCGCATATGACAAACCGCGGTATCTTCTCAAATTGTTGTCAGTAAATCACAATATTTGCAATTTGGTTTTGTAATGGTGTCCTTGCATACATTTTTTTCTTTCTTTCTGAAAGTGATGAAAAGTATACACTAATAGATGCTGAAGGGGGTTCAAGCCTTGTTGATCAAAATGTTGAGTGATGCTCTAGTTGCCCAGAAATACTTGTTGGATATTTATACTAGTAATCTATGTGGCATAGGAAAGACTTTGTTCACTTTTTCTGTCATCATGGCTGAGTAGCATTGTCTTTGTCTATCTTGTATTTCTTTTGGTCTAGCTATTTTTATGTTTTGTTGGATGGTTCCATTCCCTTTCCAAAATTACGCGTTGAAATTTGTGGACCCAGGTTTGAAATTGTTGATACCACAACGAGGTTGCTTGTACCAATCATTGTCCTCCATAATCATAATCGGTACAATATCATGGATAAAGGCCACAACTACAGTGTAGATATTCAAGCTATTGAAGCAGAGGTATGTTAATCTTTGGAATGACATCTATTTTGTGGTTGGCTGCTTGATCATTAAGAATTCAGGTGATGTGCTTGTAATTGTTGTCTTTTGCAATTTTTGTTCAAAATCTAAGATAGTTGCAATTGCCATTAATCATTATGTTGCATTTCTTTGAGAAGTATCTTGTAACAACTCATGACGTTAACCCTTCTCTAGGAACTAACTTTTCCCTAGACTAGTCGGAGGTCACTCAGTATGACTATTGTGACAGCAGCATGCATTCTGAGGTACTAACTGGATTATACAATTGCTCTCAAGTCTTGCATAGACCATAGATAGCAAACCTTTTCACAACATTAAAATAGACTTTAGTTTATGGAAAATGATATAGAAGTCCATTTCTAGACCCATTTTTAAGACCCAGTAATGTGTAAAAGAGATGATTGGCTGACCATTCAAGCTGGCATGATTTAGTTGCAATGTGACTTTTTCATGAATGTTTTGTTGTTCCATATTTACAAACAATTTAGACTTGCCCATATATATACATAATATTTATAGGCAATTAAAACATACATGTAGACATTGGTGTGGACTATATTGTGCATTATTTTGTCCTTTTCAGGTAAAGAAGATGGTTCACACTGGGCAGGAAGTAGTAATGATAGGGGGTATGCATGCTTTACATCGCCATGAGAAGTTGGCAATTGCTCTTTCAAAAGCGATGCGAAGCCATTCTCTTCAAGAGACAAAGACGGATGGACGTTTTCATGTTCATACAAGGACATATTTGGATGGAGCCATTCTTAAAGAGGTGTGTTCTTAATTTGTTCTACTTTTGTTCACTTTATGTATTACTTATGCTTGAAGTCAATAATGTAACTTGCCAGTCGCGTAGGCTGAAAGGTGTCCACTTTGAGATAAGGTTATCATTAATTGCAATAACCTCTTACCGTCTTCAATGGGTGCAAATTCTTCATTGAATGTTTTAATGGTTTCTTAGAGGCATTCACAGTTCACCACAGCTATTAGATGTTTAGGCCAAATCACAAAATCTTACAATTGAGCTGTTTTTTTTTCCTGTAATGGTGCCTGCTAGTGCAGTTAGCAAAGTCATTAGGATTCCAAGCTCTGCATGAGCTCTAATCATTTCTTCATCTTCAACTCTTTCTATGTTCTTGCTACCTGCAGAGTTTTATGTTTATGTATGGGCTTACTGCCTATCAAGATAGTTTCATGTTTTTCCTGTCCTATACATGTGGGTTACTAAGGAGAAGTTATATTCCTCTAATATGAAGTATCTTGAAATGCTCATTGCAGGAGATGGAACGATCTGCTGATGTGCTTGCTGCAGGTTTGCTTGAGATGTCCGATCCATCTCTTTCTAGTAAATTTTTTCTTCAGCAGGTTAGTATAACTTATCTACATTTATATATTATATTCCTTCTGGGATGTAATGGAGGATGCTTAGCTGGTCCTTTGTCTTGTTTAAGAAATTTGGATTTGTTTCCAAAATATATTTAGAGGTTTTTGCAGTACTGTTTGTGAATTTGTCTGTATGCTTTTCATTTTTACACAATGCCTAATCTTAGTTTGTGTTCCAGCACTGGATGGATGAGTCTGATGGTTCAAGTGATTCAGTTTTAAAGCATAAACCTCTTTGGGCTACTTATAGCTCCAAACGTGGCAAGGACAAGAAAAAGAGAGCGGAAGAAAAGAAACAAAAAGGTTTATACCGGACATATGGGACAAGAATCATCCCTGTGTGAGGACATCCCCCTAGCTTGCTATTTTTTTCTACAAGTCAAGCCATTTGGTATTGTGAATTCTTCGGTAGGAGTACAATTCTGTAGGCTCCTATTACCTGTTGAACTTGCTGAAAACATACCATTGTACTGCACAGAATGATATTTATAAAAGGAATAATTAAGGAGTATTTAATATCTGTGCATGCATTTGTTATATATCACCTTGTAAATATACATAACGAAGCCCATTTCATACCTTTAATGAATTCCACACACCCGAAAAAGGAAAAGAAAGAAAGAAATGGAGAAAGGATTACTTAAACAGGTAAATCATAATTGTGTTCACCATGCCAAAACTATTTGCTTTCTGATTGCAAGTGAAAAGAGGGGGGGGGGGGGGGGGGGGGTGGTGAAGAACTTTATAATGCTCAATTTCAAAACTACTTGCCAAAAGATACAAAAGAAAATAGAGGGAAGAGAGAATTCCTGTACTTAGACCCCACTCGATAACTTTGAAGCATCAAGAAAGCATTTTCGTCCTTGCTCTCAGTATTGGAATATTAATCATTTTCATCCTTGCTTTCACTTCTATATGTCTATAATTGATTGTATAATTATATGAATGTTGCATGCTTTAGTCTGGTTGAGTTATTTTGTAAAGACTCTTCAAGAAAGATAGCATAATTGAGAGCATTGAAGTTTGTGGGTTCCAAGTCCAACCAATGTATTTTTTTCTACCATATTCAAGACTACTAAAATAAATCCCCTTCTGAAATTTGGTTTCTATGGTTTTGACTCAAAATATTGACTATTTAGTATTACATAGTGGAATGATATTTCTGGTGCTTTGAACTGCTCCGTCAGTGCTTAAGAATGCATAATTTTATATGCAGAATTATATGTAAGTACAATTGGTTCTTCTGTGTTTTTGTAGTTTCTTTTATTGTACTTGAGCATCAAAATGAAAAGATACCCCTAAGGTGAGTGGACTGGATTTATTTATTTTGGTTGGTAAAATAGGTCACAGACATAGAATGTGAGTGGTGTAAAAAGAAAAAAGTAAATATAATATCAAACTTAATTATAAGAGACCTTATCCCTAACATGTGGTGTTAGACCAGATCATGTTGCTTTCAGTCTATCTTCAACTGCACTGCTCGAAGACCCTAGTGGCACCATGCCTCAAGGTGCAACTATTATATTTAGTCAATCATGGCTTTGGAAGTGCTTTATTTTTTTTTGCATGTTCTGCTGGAAAACTGCAGATTCACTCTCTTAAGGCCTTATAAAGTCCTTATAAGAGTGGTGAAGTAAATACACTGCCCTCTTCATTAGGCCTTCCTACTGATCACAATAAGCACAGTTAGGGCTAGCCAAATGCTGCTCGACACTCACTTAGACATTGATTAAATTTCCTATGGATCTAAAACCTAATAATACTCTGATATGACTGTATGATCATTTAGGTTGTTTGAGTATGCTTGAGATGCAGATTTTGTTATTTCACATGCATAACTGTGACTTGGGGCATGTTTGTGTGGCTCCTGGGGTGTGTCTCATATGTGCAGCAACATCACCAGCTTAAATAATATTGCTCCATTTTGCCATTATGTTGTCAGAAAAGATAATTATTTCAATGGCTCTCGCCTTTTCTTTTTTTTAAGTGCTGAACTGCTGATGTTTTCTCTCAAGTGCATTTATTTCATGCGCTGCCTTATTGATTCATCACTAATCCCTCCCAACAACCTTAGTCATGTTCATTGAGTATACTTGGCTACTTGGTGCCTGACATTTTAAGCTTGTACAGCACGCCGACTAAAAACTTCTCACAACAATCCTAATTTCTACTGTTAGTTCTACTCATTTATACGTTGTGTGCACCAATAAGTGCGCACGCTTTAGTTCTACATGACCGCATAATAGAATGATTTGTCTTCGATATCCCTTTTACCATCTGTCTTCATTATCACTTGCATCTATTATTGGTAAACACTAAATTATTGTGATTCATGCAGTATGATGGACCATCACATAAGTTCAGGAATATATGTATCTTTCTTAAAAGAACCCAACTGAAATTCATATGACCTTGCAGTCTGTTTGTGGCCTTTGATAGTGGTTCAAATTGATTAGGCAAGGATCTGTTCAATTTATGTAGAAATGACAGGCTTCATGTTAGATTTTTCCATATTTATAGTAGAATTATGTGATCCTTCTTTAAGTATCATACTCCTATGTTTTTCTTGGACAGTTATGTCTCAGAAACAGAGAGAAGGCATGCTATCCCATCACAGGCGCAGCGGCATATATTGGCTGGCCTGGCTTCTGTTGTCGGTGGATTAAGTGCACCATATGAAAAGGCTTCTCATATACATGAAAGACCGCTTGTGAATTGGCTATGGGCAACTGGTTGCCATCCATTTGGACCATTCTCTAATACTTCCCAAGTTAGCCAAATGCTTCAGGATGTTGCATTGGTAATGCCAATCCTGGTCTCCTTTCTTCTGTTTCAGTTTTGAGAATGAGATTAATGGTGATGTGCTGAAGTTTTTGATAGGCTTTCTTTACTGAGCTTGCAGCACAAAAGTAGTTTCTTCTCATGGTTAATAAATCTCTGTTCTGATCAATTATATATAATATACATTAAATGAATTCACAATCTTCACTCTCATGCAGAGGAACACAATATATGCACGTGTAGATTCTGCCCTTCGGCGAATTCGAGAAACATCAGAGGTAATTTGATTTCCATTTAGCCATATTTTGGTCATATATGTTTGGATTATTACGGATTATTGTCTTTGTTTGTACAGTCAGTTCAAATTTTTGCTGGAGAATACCTGAAAACCCCTCTAGGTGAACCAGTGAAAGGAAAGAAGAACAAGTCTAGCACCGAGCTGTGGGTGGAGAAGTTCTACAAGAAGACGACTAACCTGCCTGAACCTTTCCCACATGAATTAGTTGAACGACTAGAGAAATACTTGGATGTAAGTCACTCCTGACTTGATTCACAGGTTTGAGCTAAATAAATAGGGTAAATGAAATTATTGGTCCCTGTAGTTTTAGCAAGATTTCAACATCCATTTTAACCCTCCACTTTGATTTCAGTTTCAATGTAATCCTTCTGTCTAAATCTGTCAGTAACAGAAAAAGTTCCCGTGTCCCAAGCATGTGCGCATGCTTTTTCCATTGGCATTTTTAGATTATTTTGACGGTGGGACTACATTAAAATGGATATGAAAGTACAGGGTTGAAATTGAAAAACTACAAGGACCAAAGTGAAATCTCATTGAAACTAAAGGGACCAATGTTGTAATATACCCGAAATAAATATATGTATATATATATATATCTACGAATAAACAACATTAGTCTTGAATGTTTGAATAACAGAACCTTGAAGAACAGCTTGTAGATTTGTCTTCCCTGTTATACGATCATCGCTTACAAGATGCGCACTTGAACAGCTCAGAGATTCTCCAGAGCTCCATCTTCACCCAACAGTAAGTTATCATGACCCTTTGTTTTTCCCCCAATGTTGGCTATTACGCGTTCTTTTGGAAGAGGCTTATTGTTGATTCGATGACTAAAACAACAAAAATCAATATTTATCATTTTTATGCTCATTATCCGAGTCTGTTTTACAGGTATGTAGAGCACGTTTTGGCCAATGAGAAGGAGGAAATGAAATGCTGTGCTATTGAATACAAATTTCCCGTGCAGTCTTCCCAAAATTTCATCTACGCTGGAATTCTTCTTGCCGGATTCTTTGTATATTTTGTAGTCATTTTCTTTTCATCGCCTGCGCGCTGATGTAACAAAATCGCAATCCTCACCCAGAAATTGTTCCAAATTTTGTGATGCTCAGTTACGTCCACAAATACATGTATCTGCATATAACACTTTTGATAGATAGAGGAAAAACTTAACATGAAAAGCTTCTTTATCAATATCTGAAATATCAAAACTATGACATCTTTTTGAGTTTATGTAGTCTCTCTTGTTTTACTTAATTGCCTAGCTGACACTTGTTATTGCTCCTAATCTGGGTGGCTATCACAAGAGATCTACTGAAGAAAATCAGGTGCGTCCATCGTACCCGTGATTTTTGTGGGCCTGTTTCTGTTGATCTCTCTGTTCTTTCTGAATATCTGAAGTGTGGGAACTGACATTTTGTTGGGTTTATGTAGGCTCATGTTTTCTTAACTTGCCTAGCTGGCACTGGTGTTATTGCTCTTAATCTGGGTCGTTATAGCGAGAAAAGGGAGGAGGATGTCTACAGAGAAAAATCAGGTGTGTCCATCGTACCCATGATTTTGCTGGCCCGTTTATGTTGGATGTCTCTGTTCTTCTTTCTCAATATCTGAAATATGGAAGCTGTGACATTTTGTTGGGTTTATGTACGCTCTGATATTGCTTCTAATCTGGGTGGCTATAGCAAGAAAAGAAGGGAGGATATCTTGCTGAAAAAATCAGGTGCGTCCAACGTAGCACTTATTTTCACAGGCCCATTTTTCAAATGCCTTTGTTATTTATTTTTTTTTAAGGAGAAAAAAATATCCAATTTAGGAGAAGTTATCTGATGTTTCCAAAACAGTGTGTGATCATGTGTAGACCCAACAATAGGAGGTCATGTCACCATTTTTTAGGAAAAAAAATTGGAACAAGGTAAACACTTGGACACTCGTGTAATTGGATAGGCATATGGCCATGATGGTGTCGACCCACCTGATAATTTCTCGCTAGGAATTTTAATGGTATGCATTTGTAAGGAGTGATTTGATTTGGGTGGTAAAAGAAATAAATGAAGACTCACGAGATGTACTGATAATAAATGACATGATTTAATTGAGAATCAAGAGAAAAGAAATAAAAAATGAATCGAATTCGTTTGCGAAGTTGGGTTTACAGTAAAAAAGTCATTATAATTGTCACTTTCTAAACGGCGAGTTGATTTGAGTTGAGGAATATTTATTTAATGGTAGGTCTATCTTGTAGTTCAACTCTTATCCTCCGTTTGGATGGAGTGATTTGTAAAGAAATTATGATTAAAAAAATGTTTGGTTTATAAATTAGGTGAGAAATTGTGAGAATGAGCTCTTATTTTATTGATTTTATTTCTCACAAAAAGTGGTTAGATTTAGGCTTATTTTGGCAACATAGTTTTTAGACACTTTTTTTGGTTAGTAGCAAAAGTCAAAAGTTGGCTTTTTTAGTTTTTTTTTTTTCATTTGGGTAGTTGGTTTTTAGCCAACGGTGAAATTATAATTTTATCCCTCATGGGTCAAAATGTGTTACATAGGTGAAGTTGTAAATATTTTAAATAAATGGGGGTAGTTTGGTCATTTTATTATGATTTGACATCATAAACAAATATTAATAAAAAAAGTCAAAAGTCACTTTTTTACTAACTTCCCAAATCATTTGTCTAAAAAAGCCAAAAGTTTGGTTAAAAGTCAAAAAGTTACTTTTTACCATCTTCCTAAAACAACCTTAATGATAAATAAATTGTTGGTTATAAGATATTTATAATATCAAGATTGCCTCAACAAATACAAAGGAAGAAAAAAAAAAATTTGTAACTCTCTCACATGTTTTGTTTTCTTATCCATCCAAACAAGTAGTAAAAAAACACATTAGTGCGTTTGATTTTAATTTTTTGAATTTAATTTTTTAAAACTTAAGTTTTTTTGTTTTTAATGAATATTTTTAAATTTTAAGCACTTTTTCTACTTTTTTAAATGCACCTTATTTAGATGTATTTAAAAAATAAAATATTTGTGAAAAATTATTTTAAAAAATTAATAAATACGCAAATATGATTTTAAAAAATTAATAAATACACAAATACGAAAAATGTATTGAATGTTTTTTTTTTTTTTTTTTTTTGGTATTTAGTAAATTTTTTAAAGATTTTTTTACAAAAATTTTACTTTTTGAGTATATTTATGTTTGGTGTGTTTAAAAATTAAAAAAATTACTTGAAATATTTAAAAAATTTAATAAAAACAAAAAAAATATGAAAAATAAAAAGTAGAAATTTTTAAAAAGTGAATTTTAGAAATCAAAACCAAACAGTTTTTTTCCCCTCATGATCCAAATACTGGTTTAATGTGAACCTTTAGAGAAACTGGATGCACAGCTTCAAAATGGGGATTGAAGTGATGCACAACATAGTTGAGTTAATTTTCATTCTAACCTCCTTCCCCACCATTCAAAGTCGGCAACATAGGAAGCACGGATACAGATATGGGATACGGATACGATACGATACGGATACGGCAATACGATAAAATTTGAAAAATTAGGATACGGATACGGCGGGGATACGTTCGTAAAAAATATTATTTTAACAATTTTAGTAATGCAGTATGCATAAAAATAAAACTTAAAGCAAAAGACAACTTGATAAAAAAGAAAGATTCTTATAAAACTAAGGTCATGTTTGTTTGGGTGGACATGAGCTTGGGATTGGACTACTAGTCCAATAAAATTATTAATCCGATGTTTGGTTAAACAATTGAAGTACAGACTAATTATTTTAAACTTGACTATTAGTTAAGATAGGGTACATAATCCAACAGATTTGTAATCCTAGGACTATTAGTCATGGGAATGCTAATCCAGTCCGCCCAAACAAACATGGCCTAAGAGTCTTCAAGGTCAATAGTTTCAACTTGTTCCCATTCATCAGTGAATATCACAAGACCTTAACTAAAGCCAAAAAATCATTCTTAAATAAAAATTTCAGCAAATATACTTTTTTAAGTCATCAATGATAGCCTAGGAAGCACGGATACGGATATGGTGATATGGGGATGTGGATATGGCGATATGTCAAAATTTGAAAAAGTATGATACGGATACACAGGGGATACATTCGTAAAAAAAAAAAATTATAATTTTAACAATGTAATATGCATGAAAATAAAACTTAAAGTAAATTAATAAATAAAGAGAGGGATTCTTATTAACTTAAAAGTGCTCAAACATTCATAAAACATTCAAAACTAAAAGCAAAAGCAAATGCAAATTAAACATCATCCTTACATGCCAACATCAAAAAAAGAATGAGAGCAGAGAGAAGAAACGTGAGAGAGTGAGAAAGCGAGAGAGAAGTGAGAGAGACAACAAGGATACATCAATTTGACAAATTCTATTACTTTAACTCTCACTATATTCCTCTTATCAAAGAACTAAACAAAATATTATAAGTAACATGTAACTTCGAGTATCCGATACTTTAAAATTAAGTATCCGATACTTCAAAATTAATAAAAAATTAATTAAGAAGTATCCGATACTTTTAAGAAGTATCTGATACGTATCCGCGAGTACCCGAAGAGTATCGGTATCTGATAAGTATCCGATACGGATACGTCACCCTTTTTGAAGTATCCGTGCTTCATAGTCGGCAACCTATGCCAACTCTTCGGAAACCTCTGGTAACCCACCACCCACCATCTGTCCACCTCCAGCAACCCATGCCAACGGCCACTACAACCATCGGCTTCTACCTCTAGTTGGTCTCCACCACCGACCACTACTTTCTAATAACTCACAAATATGTTTTTTTATTTTCGTTTTATATATTGGCAAAATATTTATGTGCACAAAATAAGTTTTTGTTTTTGTTTCGAGTAATGCAACAGTGACAATCTAACGTGTCCATCTAGATGTTAGTACAACATTGGAGATACGCATGAGTGGTTATGCCAATATTGTGTCAACAGTGAGGCAACTGAAGGGCACGCAATGAGCGATCTAACAAAAGCGAGAAAGTAAGATGGTAATTATAATATGTTATAGAAATATAATAAGTTTAACATTATTGTTATGTTTTTGTTGCAGAAGTAAGCAAAAGCATGTTATCTGTTTTCTAAAAGCAGGAAGTTGGCTAATTTTTCTGCAGCAGCAAGGACCACCAGCCCACTAAGGAACGAGTGATTTTAATAAGAATCCCTCTCTTTATTTATTAATTTACTTTAATACGACTAATAAGAATCAAACCTTGGGGCTAATAAGAATCAAACCTTAAGGCTTTCTCTGCCACTTTATTCTTAACACCCCCAAGGTTTGATTTTAATACGACTCCCTCCTTAACATTTCAAGAATTACACTCACCCCTTTGTCAGAATTATCTATGAACGGAAGTTACGGAAAAAAAAATAAAATTATAAAGACTTTAATTTACTGTATTACCCTCTCAACCTACCCAATCATTGCAACCCCAAACACTTTCTCATCATCTCCAAACTCTCCACTCCACCATACGCGATATCCACCCCCAACCCTCTGAACTCCCTATACCCTCTGCCCAGTTCCATAGTCAGCAATCTCTCCCTCTTTTCCATTAATTCCGGCCACCACAACCATTACTCAACAATTGGGAACATACACAGCCTCCCTTACATTCCTCCACCAAGTCCTTCATCCCAATGCCACTCCATGTTCACCGACCGTAACAATGGGGTTCATTTTTTCAGCCGCCACAGCGCCACCACTCCCTCTACTATCACAACTCTTTATCTCTTTCTCACTCGCACTCACACTTTCTCTCTCTACTCTTGTTTGTTGTTGGTCTGGTTTGTGTGGGTTTGATTTTTAGCTGGATTGCTGTACAAAGTGGAGGGGTTAGTGGTGGTGGACATGGGTTTTATTTTTTGTGTGGGTGTGGGGCTGTAATGGTGGGTGGTTGTAATTTTTTTGGTTGGTTGTGAGTGGTTTCCATGAGGCAGCTTGAAGATTGTAGCAAATTATGCATGTAACATGCTTGGTTTATTGCTTCAAAGAATTAATTTGTTCTGATCACAAATGGGTCTGTGTTTGTCTTCAAAATTGGATCTAAGTTTGTCTCTCTCTTTTTTTTAATAATGGATGAGCATTGAATTCTAGGTTTATGATTTGGGTTTGCCATGGTTGTGCAGTCCCTGAATGAGAATTATTGTTGATGCTTTAGATGAGTTGAAGCTGGGAGCTTGATAATCTT